AAAGAAATTGTTCAGACTGGGCTAACTAAACAAGAACCAGTATAAAAGTCCTTCACACATACAAGTTATTTGGCTCTTTACTGGACTATGAATGCACAAAGATATGTCCATGTAACCTTGCTTTAAGGCACAAGGAAAATGGCATAGATATTAAAACATCAGAGGCACCATGTGAGAAAGGCAAAAGTAGAATAAAAATGAGGAAGCATTTGGCAACTGTCACCTGGAGCCAGAGTATTCCATTTGGTGTGATTAGTCACACAAAGTACATTATTAACTCTTCAAGCTGATACAAGGCACAATAAAAAGGAAAGCAGGAATAGAAAAAACAGGTATACTGAAAAAATACCTCAAACTGATGGAGCCATGGGAGCTTGGCTTGCTTTAGGTTTAGAATTCAGGACATTATTCAGACCACCAGTCTTGCTGTGGGTTTTCTGGGCAACCAGTCCAATAGTTAGGATCCCATGCACTGAAGTGGGGATATTAAGTTCCTTTCCCTCCACTTAGAAAGATTAAACAAAAAGTACTTAGAACCAGATGACTGTAATAATGAAACAATAAAATGAAATAATGAATATTTCAGGTAACTATTTTAAGCAGTGTTAGATGAAATAGAAAGTGTTGCTTACCCTCCTTAGTTTATGATCCTTTCCTGAAAACGTTTGGAACCAAAACTATGTGTGTGTTTCATTGTGCTTTGGGATGTAAATCATTGTCACGAATACATCTATTAAGTTAAAAAAAGTTTTAAGAAGAAGCAGACTGAGTGCCAGTGAAGGTATTGCTGTGCTAAACCTCAAACTGGGAAAGGGTTCTTTTTCACCTGTTCCACTTGCTGTGCTAAAACTAGTCTGTCTTTAAAAAGTACTCTTAAAACTCTCAGATGTTAAGAAACAGATGTTAGAAGATTATTATAACACAGAGCTAAGTGATTTTTTTTTTCCCCTGAAAGAAAATCCCTGTAAAACAAGGCATGAATTTAAACTGCACAAGTGATCAGCTCACAAGCAGCTCACCATTTTGCTTACACACACTTGTTCTGAGTCAGGAATCCTCACTAAAACGTGCTATTCTAGCAGGCACTACCTACTTTGCTCTGCTATTAATCACTCATGATGCAAGCACTCCCACCCATTTCTGAGAACATTGTAGGCAGTCTGATAACTCACAGGCTTCAAGCTGGCTTTATAAACTTGCTCCACTTTTGCATACTTCCTCATACTGCTAGTTTCTCTGTGAAGATGAAGCTGCTTGTTTACTTAATCTTGCTGAAGACGGCTCTCCTTGCTGTAACAGATGTCTTTGCAGCTGTTTCAGAAGATGAAGAGGATGCTAAAGAAGGAAAAGTTACTGGGACTTGTCCTATAAAGCTCAAAACTAATCAGAAATGTGATGAAGGAGAGGATTGTCCCTATCAGATAAATCTGCCTCCCATGACCATCCAGCTACCCAAAGAATTCAAACTACTTGAGAAGACTCTCAGAGAAGTACAGACCCTTAAAGAAGCAGTAAACAAGCTGAAGAAATGCTGCCAAGATTGCAAGCTGCAGGCAGATGACAACCAAGAAAGAGACACTAGTAATGAGTTCCTGCCACCTAATGCAGAAACTCCAGCAGAAAACAGCAAAATCATCCAAGATAACAGAGTAAAGGAACTGCAAAGCAAGGTTAACAGAATGGCAACCAGCTTAAAAAATGCAAAGAGCCAAATTCAGACACTGCAGGGTCGTTTAGAGAAGATGAATCTCATAAATATGAATAATGTAGAACATTATGTTGACAGCAAAGTTGCTAATTTGACATTCGTGGTGAACAGCCTTGATAACAAATGTTCTTCTAAATGTCCAGCAATGCAACCAAGACCTGGTATGTAACCTGTTAATTCTTGCTGCCTGTATAAGCTTTCTGTGCGTTGCTCAAACAAAAGATAAACAATTTAAAGCATGTTTTAACCAAATAGCTGTGTTACTAACTTTACAAGTATTTGCTCTTGCAGTGTTTATTTATACTCCTGTAAAACATTTCAGCTGCCACTAGAGGGTTACTGGGAGCTGCAGGTGTTCTGTTCTTCCTATAATTAGACTTTACTATGAGATTTAAAACATAATTTTTCAAATTACTTGTTTTTTGCAATTCAATTAGCTTTATTTTACTGAACTACCCTTCATTGAGGCTTTTGAAGATCAGTGAACTACATATGTTTTATCCTTGGATGAGAAAGGGTAAATTTTCCTAAGGTATGCCTTAGAAAACTGCACGTGTTTGGTGTTTTGTTTTTTTTTTTTAATGTGAAATACCTACTCTTCTGAAAAGGTCTGCATTATTGATACATTAAACATCAAGTGAATATATTAAAACGAGTTTTTAAAAGATGAATAACAAAGTAATTTGTCTGTCATCACACAAGGCTCAGCTAAAAAACTCTTTAACAGTCACAACTGGGTAACTTATGTATCAACAACTTCACTAAACTTTAGCATTTCAAAAATATTTTTTAATTATTTTTTTAATATATGCAATATAAAACAAGAAACAGGTGTTACCACTGACAAACACTTTTTTCTTTTATTTTTTAAGCATCCTAATTAATATCAATAAACAGATCTAATAATTTTTTTCTAATGTTGACTTCTTAAGGGAAGACAGAGGGTTTTTTTAAGTAATGAAGTTGTTGTATCACTTAAAATAATCTTTGAAAACAATAAATATTTAGTAGATTGTCATGTATTCTACCACTTAGATGTCATACATGTGAAGTTAGGGCTCTCTAGAGATGAAACAGAGAAAGATCAGGCTGTGTTATAGTTTTTAAGCCTTTGTGGCTTAGTGTTCACATTGAAAATTAAACTTTTCTTCTGTCCACCCATATGGAAAATGGAAGGATTTGAAAATGTTGCAGTGTATGCACAGCTGAAATTCTTGAAAGTGTGAAAAAAGTAAATTAATAATAATAAAGGTAATGCTATGACTATATCAGCAGTCAGTTTAAAACAGATATAAATGAGTATAAATCAATTGCCTTAATTCAGATATAAAACATTCACAAAAAGAACAAGTGATATTTGGTACATTGGTAATGGGCAATGAATCAAATTCAAGTACAGTACTTTGCAACAGACTATATTAATTTGAGATATTTCTCACAGTTATGGAAATGTTGGGTAATGTTCATAGCATGTGATCATGGAGACATTCCTTGCATGTTACAGTAGCTGATACTAAATGTGTTTGTGGCATCAATATATACCTTGTGAAAACTAGCAAGGATAACAGCTACAACTGTTTCCTATACAGGAGCTATTCTTGCATCCACTCACAGTAACAGCAAAACTTTCTTTAAGCAGGAGTTGAATCAGATTATAAAAGCATTTTATCTGAAATATATATTCTTTGCTAATATCTGCAATGAACCTTAGTCCATGAAAAATCTTACACCAAATTCAGTGAAGTAGAATCTATTGTGGATTTAGATTTGGCTCTTAAGCCTTTGATTCCTACACTTTGTGCTTTCATAGCTGCCCAGTTTTCTGTGCTGGCAAAGAAGGAGTTCTGAGTCATATGGCCTGCTGCAGCATGAGAACACTCCTCACTTTCAAGAAGTAGTTTGTTCAAATTTTCTAGGAAAAATATGTAATTTGAGTCTACAAATGAACATGCCTATCAATCCAAATCTGCTATAGGAATGAACATCATGGTTTTGACTCTTAACTCAGAATTTCTGAGAGCTCTCTGTGTCACTCACTTAAGAACACAGAATTACAATGCCATGCTGTTGAATACAATTGGAAGACACTGTGGATCAAAAATGGATTTTAACTCTGCAGGAAAAACGTGGGGAGTATTTTTCTTCTGAATAAAATAAACCACTAACAAGTGGGGAGAAAGCTGTATTAATGGTAGATGCTACAACTTTTCTTTACAATAAATCCAGCAACATCACATACACAGGAAAACATCATCACTTTCCTAGGTTCATCTTTCTAGGAATCACAGTATTAGTCCAATAAATGAATGAGACATTTTATTACCTTTTTCCTGCTTTCTAAAGTACAGTCAACATTAATGCATGAAACATTCCTAATGATGTTATGTTCTGCATGATGTCAGCTGAACAATAGCCAGGTTAAAGTTATTCCCATATGGAAAAATTGTCTCTCTGCCACACTGTCAGATGAAGATTTAAATTACAGACAGGGTGTGATGGTATATATTTAAATACAATAAGCAACAGGTGTCTAACCATGAAGCATTAAAAACGTGGACTGAAGAAATCAGGCTGAATTTACAGGAGGTAGAGAAAGGATAAAGAGAGGAGCAGAGAAAAGGAGGAAGGGGAAATCAGATAATCAAAATGCCCTCTTATTAGTCAGTTTTGGAACAAAATGTCACTGAAATAGGTGGGGTTTTTTGACAGCTGATGCAGAGATCCTAGGTGGCATCTATTATAGAGTCAACCTGATTGAAAAACCCTGTTTCTCCCTAGAAATGAAATTGCTGTTACCCTCTTTCCTATGTAGAAGTCTCTCCAAGTTCTTTATGTCCCATCAGTCTGGGAAAAACTTTGTTTATTTTTAAATTGAAATGACGTTAATTCTAACACTATTTGTTCTCCCACCAGTTATACAAATAATGCAGAGGGACTGTGCTGATCACTACACAGCAGGCAGAAGGAGTAATGGAATCTACAGGATTAGCCCTGACCCCAGAAATGATAGCTTTGAAGTTTACTGTGACATGCAAACCCAGGGAGGCGGCTGGACAGTACTGCAACGGCGTCAGGACGGTAGCACTGACTTTAACAGAACCTGGAACGACTACAAAAATGGCTTTGGAAACCTCAGCAGGGAGTTTTGGCTGGGGAATGACAAAATTCACCTCTTGACAAAGAGCCAGGAAATGCAACTGAGAATTGAACTTGAAGATTTCAATGGTATCAGAGAGTACGCAAAGTACGAACACTTCTACGTGGCCAACGAGTATCTCAGGTACCGCCTGAGTGTCCACGGCTACAGCGGCACGGCCGGGGACGCCCTTCACTACAGCAAGCATTACAACCACGACCAAAAGTTCTTCACAACTCCAGACAAGGACAACGATAGGTATCCTTCAGGAAACTGTGGAGCCTACTACAGCTCTGGCTGGTGGTTCGATGCCTGCTTGTCTGCCAACCTCAATGGCAAATACTACCACAAGAAGTACAAAGGTGTTCGCAACGGCATTTTCTGGGGCACGTGGCACGGCATCTCTGATGATATTCCCAGTGGATATAGGCAAGCCTTTAAGTCAGCAAAAATCATGATCAGACCCAAAAGTTTTGTGCAGTAATCCCATACCTTTCCCCTAACTAGTTTGCATTGGATTGCACTCAAAATCACACTTACACAGTATTATACTCAGAATTCAAGTATTCAGTAATGTTTGGCATAAAATAGTTCTAGACAAAACAACATATTTCCACATACATTTTTAGAGATGGTATGTATTAAAAAAGCATTCATGCTTGTGAAAAATTACTGCTAAAACGTAGCACAGTTTAAGTCTTGGTATTGTTACGTAAATATTCTAAACGTTGCTTTGGTGCTTTTATGGACTATGATAGATGAGATTTTATGACTTAAAACTTTTAAATATTCTTCTACACGTTGTGTCTGAATGAACACCTATATTTTAACCTGAAAATAACTCACAGGTATAACTGGTAACATATCGATTTGTCAACACTTAGAATGAAAATTAGTATCTCTGAAACAGCCTGACTTCTGTATCCTCTATCCATCACAGCTTCAAATACCATGGAAATATCCATAAAAATTAGGAGAAGTATTATGAATTATTTTTTTAAAGGACTAGGAAACAGAAGTCCATGTGGCTTGCACAAAGTCAGAAAAAAAAGCCTTGAAGTAAACATAAAGAATTAAGATGATTTCTCACATCTTATCCCATTTATCAAAGATTTTTCAAAGAAGTTGGTTAAAGAATTTAATTAAAGCAAGAAGAAATAATGTAAGGAGCATGTAATGAAAGTATTTCTTGCTCATTTTGGTTCTTCTGTTCAAGCTCAAAGTCTTATTTGTCATTTGTGGGAGAAAGGAGCTGTTACGTAGCTTATTGCACATTTATACAGACAGGTAGATGGGTAGGAAGAAGACACATAAAAAAGAATTAATGTCTTTGCATCAATGCCTCAAAATATATATAAAAAAATTTTCCAGTGCCATTTCTCCTGAATCTTTTAGCTAAGCCAAATTCCACAACATTACTCTTGTTGAGACTCTAGCTCATTTATGTACTTCTAAATCTAGGTGCTATTGAAATTGTAAGAAAGACTATAAATATCTTGTAAGATACAAAAAGATTGTGTTGTCTTAGTTTTTTAAGAACCCCTTCTGTAGCCACAGACACATGAGCAAGCCACTGCCAATTATAAAGAGAATATGTGAAAGACTTCTGAAATGCAACAAATGAAAAAAACCCTAATTTTCAAATACTTTAGGAAGTGCAAATTATTATTAAAGCTCATGTTGTAGATAATGAGCATAAATCTGCTACACGTATCTGTTCCTCACACTGGAAAAGACTCTATATCTCTCTATAATTCCAGTGACTAACATCTGGAGTAGAAATGCAATGTATCTTAGCAAGAGGCTATTTTGCTATATGGCTTACAGCAACTCTTGAGATGCAGGTAAACTATAGTAAGACTGTATTTCTTTACCAAAGTCTGGTCTTTGCTGGCATAGCCTTTTTGGTTCAAACAGACATTAAAAAAAATAGTATACACCTGACTTATACTTTATAAATAGAACTGATTTTTACTGCTTTTTAAGATGATAACAAGGAACTGTTACGGCTACAAGCTACACAAATGAGCAACAGCAGTAATTGCTAAACTATATATATTAATATATATTTTAAGGAAGTAAATACTTTGAAGGATATTTCAGTGAGTAATTTGGTTTATTATATTTCAATTTTAAAGAGTAACAAAATTTTAATTTCAAGATGTATTATCTTTGCTTGAGAACATGTTTTGAAGCTAGAGAATATTTATTTTGGGATAAAAAAGGATTGTCTAAACAAAACAACAAAAAAAAAGAAACATGAAGTATTGGTCAGAAGAGCAAATATCTAATTGCATATGATTATATTTAATAATCAGAATTTGCTCCTATTCATAACTAACTAGGTATGACTTACAGTATCTACCAGCTTCTACTTGAAAATGTCTTTTTTCCTGCTAAGTTGTTGGAAGAGAAACTGTCCAATTTTTAATCCTGTTGAAAGGAAACTTTGTAAAATACAGTTTTGTTTTGTTTTTTTAACCAAACAAGCACATGTGTCTGATGTTTTAAAAAAAAAAAAAAAAAAAAAAAAAAAAGGAAGGATGCATAATGTTGTTACACAGATCTGAATATTACCTGCCTGGAACTGTTGTAGCTGAATCTCCACCCGTGTGTACTAGTTTTACAAAGTATAACTCCATCTACTTGTTGCAAGCATAATTTTTGTTCTTCCTTGGCGTAATAAAATTAAAGTCACCCTGTTAAAGCTATACTACTGTCACAGATGGTTTTTATGGGGACTATAAAAAAAATTATCACAAGTTGCTTTATTGATTTTCTGTAAAAATTGAAGCAATAAGAAAACACAGATAACTTCAGATGACCAACAAAGACAACTATGTGATGTGCTAAGGGAGTAATTGCTAGTAACAATAGTTCTTAAGAGGTCTGGTTTATGACACTTCAGCTGCTAGATAATACCAAAGGCTGAAACCTCAAAATCCTATTTTAGAAGAGAAAAAAAGTAATTGTGCAATCAAGAGTTTACACAACCTGTATCTTTAACATGAAAGATGAGAAGCAAACTCATCTGTTTTTATGTAACACACAACCTTTCAGGTCACATGCAAGTTTCATCGAAGCTTTTGAGTAGAAATAATACTCCAAATTAAATCATACAAGTTTTTATACAAACAAAAGCACTTGGTCTCTGCTTAAGGGTTAATAGTTCAAAGCATTTATTTCCGTTTATGGAAAACATCTAACACTGATTATGCTGTGAAAACACTTGTGGTTTTATCTTGATAATATTTAAATTGTGAACTTCAGAGAGGAAGATTCCTAACAGTGGGTTTGCTAGCAAAACTCTTGCGGGTTACTTCCAAAAAAGAGAGTCATAAACCCATCTGTTCAATGTGATTAGCCAAGCAGACTGTAACGTCTTGGCTTTCTATGCGTTGTTTAAGAAAAAAAAATAAAAATGAAAGAACCCCACAAAAACAACAGAGAAAAAATAAAAAGCAGGTCTGAAAGCAGTGATTTTAATTTTTTCTTCCTTTTTTAATGCAAATACCTGTTTCTCTAATGGTGTGTTTTGGGAAACACTGCAATCAAACTCAGAATGAGTTGTGAACAACAGGTAGTTTGACAATTTGGTGGAAAATAAACTTGCATTTATGATATTATTCTTAAAGGAAATTAAGATAAAACTCAAATCACACCTAGAACAATGTGTTAATAACTTAAAACCAAAATCAAACAAAACAAAAAAACAGCACCAGACTTACTTAGCTTCCATAACTTCCATGTCATAGAAAAATCAAAACAGGAAGGATGCGACTAAGTTTCTACAGAGAAAAGAGATAAGAAATAAATACTGGCTGACCAAGAAAAAGATTTTAGATGTATTTTTATAAATGTGTTTGGTGTGGGGTTTTTTTCAGAATATAAGAGAAAAATAATATGATATATATGGGCCTGCAAATATTGACAGAAGTTTCAAAGAAAAATGGCTGAGCGCTGCTAGACACAAACATTGCACTTACTAAACTGATCTGCTTCATTCACAGCTTTAATGAAACTTTTATGGAGTTACAATACTTCTGCCAGAAGGGAATTTAGCCATCCCCCACAATTGTAACCAGAAAACGGTATTTTAAGATGAAGTGTCAAATCCAAGTCCTGAAAACAGGATATGAATCAATATTACTTTTTAAGGCCCTGTTCCCCACACTTTCCTCATCTCACTACAAGAAGAATCTGCTTGGAAAATAATAACTGGAAAAAATACCCCCAAGACAAACTGATTGCCCTGTTTTAGAATATTAGATCTTAAATATATATTTTGAGTGAGAAAAGTGGAAGAGTGAGGCAGCTTTGGAACATAAGACAGCAACATGTTTGTCTTTTTCAGTCTCGTGAGCCTCAGGAATTGTTGAGAAAAGGCAAAAAGGCGAGAATATGCTGCAGGTGAAGGTTATCCCTTCTCCTACCCTCTCAGCTTTTACAGAGCTGTGGTTCCTCTGTGTGGCATGAAATCTGCACCTGATTTTGTAACAGCACAGAAGAACCAACACTCCATAAATGCTTTCAAACGTGCATTTCAGAAAAAAAGCAGAAATAGCACCTGCTTTGTGATGAAATACGAACATGTTCAAAAGCACCCTGGCCTTGTTTCCTCACAACGTTATCTGCTAGTGGTAAAAAGAATCTCTCAACAGAAAGAGCACACTAAGGTGGCTTTCT